GGCCGAAGTCTGTTTACCATGCACTTAGAAACAATTTTATACACCACATTGCATAAGCTAATGGGTCTGAAATCCTTGAGCTCTCTCGGATGTGGCACCTTGGGTATTAGCACAATGGTTGTGTCATTAACACCATCTGGCATGACCCCACTTGAAAAGAACTCCTGCACTGCTGCCACTATTTCCACCTTGAGAGTGGCCCAGTTCCGTTGGTAAAACCTTGCTGGGAGCCCATCACAACCCGAGGCTTTCAACGGGGCAATCTGAAACAATGCATTTGACATCTCCTCCTCCGTATACGCTCTGCATAAGGCCTCATTCATCTCCACCGAGACTTTAGGGGTGATAGTATCCAGTACCTCATTCGGATCCAAAGTTGGACCTTTAGTAAAAACCTCTTTGAAGTATGAGCATGCCATTCTTTCCATCTCCGAAGGCGCCACGCACCAGGAACCATCAGCTTTCATCAGCTTCTGTATAAGGTTTCGCCTCGCCCGCCAAACTGCCCGACGGTGAAGATACTTAGTGTTTCGTTCCCCTTCCTTCAACCAAGTAATACGAGACCGTTGAAGCCACAACATCTCCTCACGATATAGCAGCTCATCTAGTTCACTCATTTTTGACCGAAGTTGAGCACGGTCCGCTCCTGCTAGCTGCAGGTCAGCGAGTTGGCCTCGTAACTGTTCGATCTCTTTTAATACATTCCCAAAAGTAGCTTTACTCCATTGTTTCAAATCTCCCAAGACCTGTTTAAGTGATGTGGCAACTGATCCCAAATCACCTGTTGGCCGATGCCTCTCCCATGCTCCAGAAATGATCGAAGGTAGTTTGATATCACGCTCCCACATAATCTCATACCTCGATACTGTCGGCCTGCGCCTTTGCTCCTGCACCCCCTCAAGATATACCAAGAGTGGGCTATGATCCGAGCACGAGGTGGCTAAGTGCACGACTCTAGCCGCCGGGAAGAGATCCCGCAGTGCCTCATCCGCACATGCCCTGTCAAGACGCACCTGGACATTGCGATGGCCATCCTGGCCATTATTGTATGTATAGGGTAGCCCCGAAAACCCTAGGTCTTGTAGTTCACAAGTTACCAAGCAATCTCTGAATGTCTCCATCTGAGACTCCGATCTAGTCGTATGTGAGAGATGTTCATGCTGCCACAATGCTTCGTTGAAGTCTCCACACACCACCCAAGGATCCTGTGAAGTTGCTCTCAAACGACAGAGATGATCCCACATACGCTGACGATTTTCCACACGCGGTTCACCATGAACAAAAGTTCCTCTCCAATTAGAATCAGAACCCGCATCATGAACCCTGATGTCAATAAATTTGTTACACGATTCGAGCACTGTCACTGACAGCGTCTCCTCCCAAAACAAAGCAAGATCACCACTATGTCCATCACTGCTAACACCATGAAAGCCTTTTAGGCCTAATCTCCACTTCAACTTCTCCACTTTAGATGCTTCTTGCCTAGTCTCACAGAGAAAGACTAGCTTGGGGTTATTGGCTTTTGAGAGGGCCAAAACCTCACGAACTGTCCGGCGGTCCCCCCCCCCGGCAGTTCCAAGAGAGGATATTCATTGCGTCCGGCGGTCCTCCTCGAGGGAGGCCGCCGAGATCTCATTGTTCTCGCTGTCCGGGTTCAGTTTCAACTTCTTACTACTTGAGTTACTGCCTGTGGGTGAGGCCTCCCCCACCTGCTCAATCTCCTTACCATCAGTTATGGCCAGCACCGTCTTTGGGATGCCAGGAACATCCCCCATTGGCTTCTCGGCCTCCTCCAAGTTCGGCCTTCTCTTTGGAACAAGAACGCCATCGGTTCTGTTGCTAGTTTTCTTAATCGGGCTCGTTGCTGTGTCCATCACTTCGGCATCATATGGTGCATATTGTGATACTGGTTTGCCTGTCGCCTTTACATCAGCCATCATAGGCTCGTGTCATGTTGCTTTCGTAGGCCGCTCTTCTGGTCTAGGCTTATTAGGAGCATCTGCATAGATCCAATCTCCAAATTTGAGGTCCTTCTCCTCGTGGATGCCCAGGCCACATTCTTTGTGATCATGACTAATCAGACCGCAAAACTTACAGAACCTAGCAAGCTTCTCATATCGAACCAGGAAGACCTGGCGCTCCTTTGCACGAACGACACTTACAAACTTTGTGAGGGGTTTACGGATATCATGCCGAACCCTAACCCTAACATAGTCACCACATGTGTTTCCGTTCAAACGCATCTCCATGATTTCTCCCGCATCTTTTAGCAGCTTCTCCACGATGTTCTGTTTGCAGTAAGGATCCGGTAGCTTGTGAATCTGCAACCAGATGGGGATGTGAAAGAATTCTACCTCCTCCGCCTTGCTAAAGCCATCATACGGGCACAAGAGCACTGCCATGTTGCGGAAGAGCCAGGGCCCTTGCTTCATCATGCGCTCCCAGTCCCCCAAACAAGATGCTTGGACAACGAATCAATTCGGCCCAACTGGCCGAAATCTTACCTCCTGGGCGGGGTTCCATGCCGCCCTCATGTCCTTATAGAAAGCTGACGGGCTGAAGTTCCTGCTAGTCTGAACCCTAGCTAGGGCGAGCCAACGGACGCTTTCTTGAATCTCAGGATCATCCACATCGATCTCCACATCTGCGAAATCATCGTCGTTCAGATCCAACTGTTCTAGAAAATCACCTAGATCCGATCGTGCAGCCGCGGCGGCGCCGCTGCCGCCCGTGGCGGAGTGGGCATCGGAGGGAGACGCCATCACCGTTGCAATCGTGGTGCGGAGGCAAGGAGAGCAGGAGGGTGAGGACGGACGAGTGCCAGGGTCGATCGGGCGCTGGGATTCCGGGTAAAACTCAAAGGCGAGGGAGATCGCCTAAGAGGAGAAAAACCCTAGCCGCCAGGCGTAGGGGAAAAGATAATGCGATGGTGTAGCTCTCTCTCTCTCTCTCCATTTTTACCTTGACAGCTTTATGTAGTCGACAAGTTGTTGGCTGTGCTATTAATCATGCTCAACGCGGATCTTGAGCCGCCCACGCCAATTATTCGCCGCCCAAGCCATTGCCATGGACGTGCGTGCTTATCAAGGTCCATCGACAACGCCAGTGCCGAGATTCGTCACAAGCTTTCGCCCGCATGCAGGATCGCACGGCGAGAGCAGACCTATCATCCTCCACCGCCCGGCCACCGCCGTATCGGCAAAAGGTTGGAAGGCAAGAAGAAAAAGGTGGCACTCCGATATTCTCCACTCCGCTCGGTCGTGCGTGCGTGCGTCGTAGTTCTGTAGCTCGATGCTTGTATATACGGCACCACATGATCAGCGGTGCACTACTACATTACTATCACGTAGTGCAAGGCTCATTCAGGTATAGTGTTCTCCCGAGGATCAGTTATATATATGGTCTCTCGTACATGGCATAATAACACAGAAGAGACCCGACCGATCTCTAGTAGTATTATTTGCAGAGTTATGATTCCATTTTCATGGTCAGATACAATGATAATTAATTGCAAAGAACGTATTCCATTGTGGCACAATGCTTCTAATCTTTGTTCGATCTTCTTGTGCTGAAGTAAGAATTTGTTCTGGAGGTAATTACATCAGTGGTGCTTAACTTGCCACGAATGTGCACTTTAGTGCATGAACTTGAAAAATACATTGAACTGGTTTCATAACTTGGCATGGACGTGCAAATACGGTTCACATCTCATATGCATACGTCCACGGCCCTGACGAGGCACCCCAAATGTGCTGATTTATGTGGAAGATCGAACCTGTTACCTGTATCTCTCATGTGGGAGTGGCTAACCAGCAGACAAGGTGAAATTTTTTGTCATATATATATTCACACGCTTTTTATACAGCAGGTTGAACAACATAAACAAATTAATTTATTCGATCAAAAATAGTGCCGGGTCAATTATTTGAACCTGCACCCTAATACTATATAGCGGCCACAAATACAACTACCAAGAACATGTAATTTTACAAAGGATAAATTTCTCTTTATATAACATAATGCGCTCGTGTGGGTAAAGTGAACATCCGTGACAAGTTCAAGCACCAACGGTGTATTTACCTCTTTGTTCTGTGATCGATCCTCCACCGCCATAGGCCCTTATCAGCTTAAAGTTGCAAGTCAAGATCGCTAAATATCCCCGTCCTAAAACTTAAACTTAAGGAGTTGACGGCCACCCAGAGGGACTTCCTCTCGTTTTCTACCTTAACCCTAAACAGTTAGGGCAAAATTTTCCCTTGCGACTTCATCGGCCAGCCCGTGGATTCGCGTCCGTGCTGCCTATCGCTCCGGCGCCCAGTGGTGGGAAGGAGAATCTCATAGCTCCGCTTCGGTTAGTAGTTTAGGTTAGGGAGACTGGCTCGTTAAGGTCCAGAGTTGGAGACAGACAGACAGGCAGACGATAGCTCCGCTTCAGTGTTCAACAGACTGCATTTCTAGCACTACGGTGCGCGGTTTCATTTCGTAGCACTACGGTGGAAACCGCAAACTGACGTACTATATCATGCATGCTGAGCACCAGAAAAACATGCATGGATGATCTCGTTTTCTTTCCATCCAGAGGAAACTACATACGTGGTGATCAACGGCTGGCTAGCTGTTGCTTTTCCTTCTTTTTGCTGCTGATGATGATGCCTTTCTTTCTTTCTGTGGTCACGATGACTCTAGTCAAAAGTCAAAAGGAAAGGAGAACCCCACGATCTGGAACTCGGATCCGATCCTACGGCCCATCCTTTTCAGCAGCAAAGCAAGAGACATACAGAATCGCCATGGCACCCAAAAATCCCCATAAATAAACCCATAAAAAATCCCCATATCCATATAAATAAATAAAAAGAAGAAAAAAAGTTTTCTCCCACCCGCGCGCATGCAGCCGACCCCGGCCGTCCCGGCGACGAAAACCACCGCTCCGTCAATCCACGCCTTCCTTTTCTCTATTTTCTACGAAGACCCACCTCGGTGACCGGTGGTGCGCGTGCGGCATGTCGCCCGCCCAGCTCACTACAAAAGAGGGGGTGGCGAGCACCAACTCCTCCTCCATCATTCGCGAGCTAGCTCTTGAGTCCTGTCGAGATACGCACGCAACGTTCTCCTCTCCGACCGGGGTACGTTGTGAGATACGCACGCCAAGTAGCTACTGTCTCTGCATGGCTTCCTCTGCAGCCTCATTTGCTTTGTCCCTCCTGCTCGTTGCCGCCGCTCTGCGCTCCTGCCACGGGCAAGGCGGCGCCGTGGCGGCGATCTACAGCCTCGGCGACTCCATCACGGACACGGGGAACCTGGCCAAGGAGGCGCCGCCGGGCGCCTTCGAGACCATCAAGCACCTCCCCTACGGCCTCACCTTCGGCCGCCCCACCGGCCGATGCTCCGACGGCCTCCTCATGATCGACTTCCTAGGTACGTACATGTTGCTCTGATTCAGAGTGAACACTCTGTAGGTTGTAGCGACAATATTAAGCACCGGAACAAGTGACATCGTGTTCCGCTCTGCTTCATGTGCAATGCAGCTCAGGACATGGGCCTCCCGTTCCTCAACCCTTACCTGGCCAAGAACAGAAGCTTCGACCACGGCGCGAACTTTGCCGTCGCCGGAGCCACCGCCATGGACCCCGCGGACCAGTTCAACGGGAGCTTCTCCATGCCTTTCACTGCAAATTCCCTCAAGCTGCAGCTCCGGTGGTTCAAGGACTTCATGAAGTCCAACTTCAACACCGACCAAGGCAATTCATATTTTTTCTTCCCTCTTACACTCAGTGTTCTCAGTTTCTACCGATCAATGCACACTCTGTTTTGAACAGAGTCAACTACACCAGAGTTCCATGTAAAAATTCGTGTGTCAAATTGTTTGTGCAGAGATTCGCAAGAGGCTACAATCCTCTCTGGTATTGGTCGGGGAAATAGGAGGAAACGACTACAACTTCGCCTTCTACGGGAACAAGCCTGTCACTGAGGTGGAGAAGCTAATCCCAGCTGTGGTTCGGACCATCATCAATGCCACCAAGGTATCTTCAAACATCTTCATACACGTACAATCGAAACAACAAATTTTAAACCTGGTGATAACTCTGCCGAGTTGCCCCTATCATCACAGCAAGTGCTGGACATGGGCGCGAGCAGAGTCATCGTCCCGGGCAACTTCCCCATCGGCTGCCTCCCGAGCTACCTCACCGCGATGGCCGTGCCGGAGCCGTCCGCCTACGACTCCACGGCCTGCCTCAAGGACCTCAACCTCTTCGCTGCGAAGCACAACGCGCAGCTCCAGCGAGCCGTCGCCGGCCTCCGGGCGTCGTACCCCGACGCGGCCATCGCCTACGCCGACTACTTCAACTCCTTCCTCAGCCTCCTCAAGGGCGCCCCGGCGCTCGGTACGCGACATCAAGAGCATCACGATTGGACCGGCACACAATGGCTACCGGTTTAATCCGTTTTCGCCTTCCTCAGGTTTCGACGAGGATAGCACGCACAAGGCGTGCTGCGGCGCCGGCGGCAAGTACAACTACGACGTGAGGCGGGCGTGCGGCGTGGAGGGGGCGGCGGTGTGTGCGGACCCGTCGGCGTACGTGAGCTGGGACGGCATCCACATGACGCAGGCGGCGTACAAGGCCATGTCAAGGCTCATCTACCATGGGAGGTACCTTCAGCCGCAGATACTCAGCTTCCCGGAGAAGAATGGGCAAACATGACAGAACTGTTTGATTCTCCCCGCGACATTTTGAGCCTTCGATAGTTCTTCCATGGATATGCTATATATGCGCTCTGCCCTACGTATCCAGATTAAACTACTCCGAGCTAAAGTAAAAGTAAAGATGCAGTTTTAGCATGTTGAGCAGGGTACACAGTTACAAACCTACATTTCTCTAAAGAAGCTACGAAGTTAGAGCATAAGAGTGGCTTCCCCCGGGTATGTTGCCTCAGTTCATGTATCTAGCTAGTGCTATCACACTTTCATCAGGACTCAAAGCCTCCAGTGAGCTTTGATCCTTGAGAGTACAAGGGCAAATCTTACAGGGATAAACCTACCAGCAAATAAATGTGCACAAATCAAAACGCTGAGAGCTAAGATTTAACAGCCTTGATTTGATATATGCTAAACAACTATCTACATTGAGCTCAGAATTCTGGCGAATGATCTCCGGTGGAAAGTTGTTTGAAACGGGATAGCAGCAATGTTAAATCTGGGTCAGCTTCGTGCTTCTTCCAAGCTTTCTCAAACTGCTGTCCCTTGCATCTACAAGGGTACATCTTACCATGAGAAGACCGAATGACAGATCTCAGAGGAAGAAATGATGAAATCGGCAAAGTACAAAAAATTCAAGTAGGAGTTCTGGCTGGATATGTAGAAGTAGTAAATATTAAGATAACAGCAATTAGCTCCTGAATCCAAGCGGCAGAAACCAACAGAAGATAACCAGTTTCTCCCGGGACAGAAACTGACCTGGTTTGAGTGCACAATCTAAAGATCAGAATACTTTACACCCATCACCACTCCAGTATCATAATATAAGGTTAACATTAAATATTTTTACCCTGGCCAGAAGTATTGTTCCAGCTAGTCCACTGATTGGGCAGACCCAGTGCTAGAAACTCCCACACCAGGTGGGGTCTGGGTCTGGGGAATGATTATACGAGGCAAACCCTACCCCTGCACAGTGCAATGCAGAGAGAACACGTTGAACCCAGGACCTCTTGGCACAAGTGGAGAGTACTTGACCACTGCGCCAGGCCACCATTGGTTGATTAGATAAATTATCTTCAGATGTAATAACTTGCTTGGTTGAGATAATAAAAGGTTATCTTGAGCACCAATTCGTAAAAGTCATAAGCATGATACAGTGAAGAATAAGATAACTAATTTAACTGCCCACCAAGATAGTAGAATGGCAGCCAACTCATTCTGAACCAGTGTACTATTCTAATTTCTGAACCTAATTTACTCTGACAGATATCCAAAAGCCATTTAATAGGAATGTGATGCAAAAACTAAAATCACTAGTGAAGGATAAACTTACTTCTGGAGTAACACGAGTATTTTCACTATGTGATTTCGCATGATCTCACGGCTCTTTCTCGTGGCCGACTCCTTATACAAAAGAACAAGCTCATCCACCAGTCTAAATACAAAAAAAAAGTGAGTTGCAAATTTCCAGATTCAGCAAGTGCCAAGTAGATAAAACAAAAGATGACAACGATCCTAAGAAGTAGTACTACCTAGTTACAGAGGGAGTATCATATTCCCTAGTACCTTGAAGTGTAGGGTGACTTCCTGATCCAGGTGAGCTTAATAACTGTATGAACTCGCTCTAACACCTGCAAATGATACATGGCTGAAATATTAAAGAAATGTGATTTATACATAGATAATCACATTGTCCATAATCAGGACAACCTTCTTACCAGAAGAACTGTTCTATCATCATCAGCATGCATCCATTGGGAAAATAGAGAGAACAGGAGACGAAAATGTGCCAATAGGAAGAGGCCCATGGCATCCAAAACTGGCCCGATAAGGGTAAGCCATGCAACACGGCGTTCTTTGTTTAGTGGTTGCCGTTCCAGGTGTCCCAACATCTCAGAAAGTATGCGGTCGTACCTGGAACCAATGGAAAACTGAAGTTGAAGGAAAAGGACAAGATATGTAGTTGAGGTTTATAGTAGAGATGAACCAGATTGATGGTACCTATATAAAACTCATAATAGCAGACAGCTGAGTAACTTTAAGTCAGTGTCTTTGTCCTAGCTTTCCACTCTTCAGCCAATAACTGTTAATCTCAGATTCCCCCATGATTATGATGTACTTCAATATAAGTAGAACAAATTCCATCTAAATTGCTTTTCTAAACAGTGACTATCAATGTTTTTAAGGCGGTAAGGCGACCTAACGTGAATACCCACTGCCCTGACGCCTAAGCGCCTAAAGCGGGCATAACTGCAAGGCACTGCCAGGGCGCCTTGCTGCCTAAGCGTCAAAGGCGAGACGCCTTAAAAACAATGGTGACTAGTGACAAACAAAAGGAGAAGATGATGTACCTGTTTGTTTGGGCTTTTACCTCTGCTTTTGCAGCTTTTCCACTTTGACCAAAAAGTCATAAAAGCTCCTAAATAGGTGCTTTTGGAGCTTTTGCGGCTTTTGATGAATCAATATAACAATATTTGGCTCCAAAAGCCATAAAAGCTCTAGAAGCACCTATTTAGGAGCTTTTATGGCTTTTTGACCAAAGTGGAGCTGCAAAAGCAGAAGCAAAAGCCCAAAAACACAGGGCCAATTTATCTCATTAATTTAAAGGCAGCTTTTCAGTTTTCAGCCATTCCATTTGTAAATGTGGATTTCCTGGGCCATCAAGAAAGTATCAGGACCCTCACTTGCATTTTGGTGCAAAAGGAAAAGGCTATACCACAGTTCTCAATATGTCAGATGAGTAGTACACTGTACATTTATAACATAAATATCTTATACAATACCCATACTCCAATGTAAAATCCAAGAGTTTACAACAGAAATAAAATGGAGAATTTACAAGTAGGAAAAGAGTGTACCAAGGGCTACGTGGATTACTTCTCCGAGTGCAAGTCAAGAGCAGCACTGATACCTCAACAACACGATACCATAACTCATCATCTGCAGGAATGTTATGGCAACAAGCATCAAGTATTGCATCTTCATACAAACTTAAGTCTGCTACTTTCACATTCTTTGCTATGTGCATGAAGCTAATCATTCCTTGTTCCTGTCAATCATATGGATATTTCTCACTCAAAATGCCCACCAACAGCAATTTAGAGGAAATTGAAATAAGCACTACTTAGCGAGCTGAATGCAGTTAAAGAAAAAGTTGCACTGCTATTCAGCACATACGAACGTTATCCTCAATAGAGAAACCAAAAAAGAACATCATAATACCTTGACATCTGGCGACCAATGATCCAATGCCGTCAAAGCACATGGAATGACTAACCAGCACAGATCCCCGAGCTTCGGGTAATTAACCTGAAACACTCAGAGAAGCAACTACGGTAAACACCTTTAATGCTGAAATGGCTCAACACTACTGATTAATGCTTCCGGTGCTTTCATAAGGACTTGCTGCAACACATTTTCTGTTTCTCACAGTAATTTGAACATCTTGATTCAAGCAGGTGTCAAGTTTTCCTAAATAAACTACTCCTTACAATCCAGCTATGGCCTAGAATTTACTGATTGCAAAGAGAATGAAGCTTGTGTAACTATCATGGAGCACGAACCTGAGACAACAGCCACCGGAACTGGTGCGCGGCGACAAAGGCGTGCTCCTTGGGCGGCTTCACGGCGCCAATCATCATCATATCATCATTGGCGTCCACGCCCGTGTCCTTCAGCACGGCCTTCAGCGGCGCCAACGCCTCCTGCATCATGGCGACCAACATCTCCGGGACGCCACCCCACCCGCCCATCGCCGCCATCTCCTCCATGGCGGCGGCGGCCGCCCTGGAGAGCCCCTCCGGGACCCAATGCAGCGCGGGGGCCTCGGCGGAGGCAGCGCGGGCGGCGGCGCAGAAGAGGAGCAGGTCCACGGCCTCCTTGCCGGCCCCGCCCGTCGGGGGTTCAGAGGGGGACGGGAGGACTGAGGCGAGGAGGGATTTCACGGAGGTGTCGGAGCCCTCGGGGGGCGCGTAGGGCGCCGCGGAGAGCAGGGAGCGGAGCGGGGCGGCGACTCGGAGGAGGTCCTCGCGGCGGAGGGCCGCCGAGGCGGCGACTGTGGCTGGCGGCGGCATGGCTTCTTGCCTGAGCGGTCGAGCGCCGTCCCACTGCAAAAGGTCACTTTGGACCCGGCCCGTCTATTGAGGGTTGAAGGAGTTAAGAGGATGTCTAAGAGCATCTCCAATAGCTGTATATTTGGATGTCTATATATTCATATAGACAATGGTCTAAAAAATTCCCCCATATACACATCTAGTTTTGCATCAGAACGTCTATATACAGGGACCATGGCAGGTGGGCCGTTGCTGAGGAGAGGAAGAAATCATTACTACAGTTGAGTTTAGACAACGCCTTCACATTGTCCAGGCGTGGACATTGTCGAGGTCGATTTAGAGGATGTGTATATTTGAACGACCATATAGACAAGCTGTTGGACGCTTTTTGGGGGCTCACGTCGTGAAAAAGACTATAGACATCCATATAGACAAGCTATTGGAGATGCTCTAATGGAGCCCTCAAATTGGTCAAACTCTTAAAATAACTTCTTTTTTAGGTTGAGGCCGAAACTTGACGCGGAACAGAACCCTCAAATCCTTTAACCCTCAAAAGAATTTGAAGGTTGCACCCTCATTTTCCCACTGGACCTGCACTAGTGCAGATTGAGAGGCAAAACTGAAGGTGTCTGCATTTCGGTCAACGCACGCACGTGGGAGGGAATTTTCCCCCAACCGCGCCTCGATTTGGCCGCTGCCCCGCCTCCCGCCTCCCGCCGCCCCGCCGCCCGAGCTCGACTCCGCCTCCGCCCGAGCCCGACTCGGTAAGTCTTTTTTCCTTCTATTTTTGTTGTTTCTTTTCCGTTGTTTAATTGCTTGTTTAATTTGTTGATAATAGATGGAGATGGACATGGATTCGATGTTGAATTTTTCCAATTGGTCGTCTTCGGACGATTCGGACATCGAGGAGCTGCTACAAGACGATGACACGGAGATGATGGTCGCCATTCTCGCC